CTTCATAGCACCATACTGGCCTCGGCAAGTATGGTTTCCAACTTTGATGAAGATGTCCTCAAAGTTCAAGAGACTGCCAACATTACCCGATCTTTTGACACAGGATGCAGGCAGAGTGTTCCACCCCGAGATCAAGGAAGTCTTAGACTGGGCCATAAAGCCATCCACTTCACTACTGTACAGTTATAAATGGAAAAGTTTCCTAAAATTTACCGAAGCCAGGGGTCTTGTACTATCCCCTGTATCTCTTTCTACTTTGTTACAGTACTTGCGTTACCTGTTTGATTTCAAGTTGTCTCTTTCCACTACTAAAGTTTACCAAGCTGCGATTATCTCCTTCCAGCCTAAGGACTCACCTTCATCCTGCCTGTTCTCCCATCCTACAGTTAAAGCCTTTCTTACCTACTAATCTGAGGCCTCCAGTTCGACCACCGGTTCCGAAGTGGTCTCTTCAGTTAGTGTTGCATCCTCCTTTTGAGCCTATGGCTACGTGTGACCTTAAGATGTTGTCTTTGAAGTCGTTATTTCTTGTGGCCATCACTTCTGCCAGACGAGCGAGTTAACTTGCTGCCCTTCGTTCCGATCAACCTTTTCTACAGCTTTTTAAAGATAAGGTGCTGTTGCACCCCAATGTCTCTTTTATCCCAAAATTTGTTTCGGATTTTCACCTCAACCAGCCTTTGCTGCTTTCCACTCTGTTCTCTGAACCTATAAATGACACTGAGCGCATGCTCCACATGTTGGATGTTAGGAGGGCTCTGGCCTTCTATGTTTCTAGAACCAAAGACTTTAGGTCATCAAATAGACTTTTCCTTTGCATTGGGAAAAAGAAGGGTCTCCCAGCATCGTCTTCAACGCTCTCCAGATGGCTCGTCTCCACAATTTTGCTTGCTTATGAGCTTCAGCGTAGGACTCCACCTGAAGGACTTCGGGCTCATTCCATCAGAGCCGTAGCTTCTTCTACTGCCCTACTACGTGGCGTTGATGTGCCTGATATCTGCAGAACTGCCACTTGCTCTAATGTCTCCACCTTCATCACTCATTAGACTAGACCTGAGGGCCAAGAAGGAGACAAGTTTCAGGAGAGCGGTGTTGACGTCTGTCCTCTAGTGACAGCCCACTATCCAGTGAGTAAGTGTGGTAATCACCCTTTTGTGTGCATTCACAGAAGACCACAATGAAGAAAGACGGGTTACTTACCTGTAACCATGGTTCTTCAAGTGGTCATCTGTGAATTCACACAATCCCGCCCGACCTCCTCTCTTATCTGTCACTGGTTGTATCTAGCTCATGCTCAGGTACCTGTGGCGGATAAATGGAACTGAGGCTAGGGCAGGCGGAGAATGCACGGTATAGGCAGCCTTAAACTTCGTTACCTTTCTCTAAAAGCTCGAGAATGTTCCAAGAGGACCACTTGAAGAACCATGGTTACAGGTAAGTAACCCATCTTTTTGCCTGTAATTTGGGAATAAAGATAGACTAGTAAGAAGGCTGCATCCGAACTGTAACTATTTTGAAGGGTCTCACTAGATAAGACACTGATTCCATAACAAAAAGCAGTGTGCCCTTAAGAGGAAAAGACTATCTGGTTATTCTAACATGCACCTGCCTCAGTTCACTTTGGACAAATTATTTTGCTTCGGTTTTGTAATTAACCAGTTTGATAGAGGCACTGTCTTTGCTTGCATGTTGGCACTGAAAGATTCGCGTGCCAAAAGAATAACATTATAACAGGAAGAAATATGCTTTCCTCTTAATATGTGATTTGACCCTCAATAAATTCTGTAGGGGGCAGCAGGGGTCTACCATACTGTCTTGGGAGACGGGCAGCATGGGTCTATCTGTACCATTTAGACAAAGGTGGCCCATAAATTTATTTAATAAATAAATAAATATCTGATTACTAACTTTACTGCCTTTTCTCTAGTTTGGAATAGTGTGGTGTTGTTTTCTTGATATAGTGTACTGTATATTGTGCCTCTTGCCAAAAAATCCATATTAACTTGAGATTTGCTGTTCTGACAATTCCTTCATTATGCCAAGGAAGGCCAGACTAGCTTTATCTTTGGGGTTTTTCCTACACCTGGCAAATGTAGTTTTTACCAAAACAGATGTTTGGTTTTTAGGCTGACTTGCTTAACAATGCAGACTCTTTATTTCTTAATTTGACTGATGACTCTTTCACTGAGTTGTTTTTATATTTTCATTAACATTTTCCAATTTATCTTTCATTTTACTTTTAGTCGGCCTCAGCACTCTTTATAGTGGAAAGCCAGGGTGTACATTTATATCAGAGCAGGCAGGTTTTGTGGACTAACTTCCCACTCCCAGGACTTGCTATGGGTAGCCCCAGCCTTGAAGCCAAAGGTGTGCCGCTTGACAAGGTGGTCTGCTTGTTTTCTGAAATGCGTGAGTGGAGCAGTCAAAACAAGGTGCTCAGGTGTTGCTTCTTTTTAAAAGAGATGATCTTCCTGGAGGCTTTCTCAGCTCAATTTCCTTTTTTAAAATGGGGGGGGGGGAGGTAGTGCTAGGGTCTGCAGAAGCCACAAGACCAAGTGCAGCTACATGCAAGTTGCAGGGTACATGTTCCCCACCCCCCATTTTGTAATTATGATGATGATGATGATGATGAAGTGAAGAAGCACCAAACCCACACTGGTTCGATGAGAGTTAATGTGCATCTGTTCTATATATGGTATATTATGTACATAGTTGTGAGATTCCCTAGCTTGAAGGGAATTAAGTTTGTTAGTTGGTAATTTGATTTTTTAAAAATATCAAAATAATAATGTATCATCAAGTTTATTTTGATAGTAGATGGACGTACTATCTGTGTGTCTGGAGAATTAAGACTATTTCCAGAGATTTCTGAAAATCTGTGTGTTTCAGGAATTACCCCTTTTTTTTTTTTGCATACTATCTGTGTGTCTGGGCAATTAAGACTATTTCCAGAGATTTCTGAAAATCTGTGTGTTTCAGGAATTATTTCCAGATAACTACGTATTTTCAGAGATTTCTGGAAATCTGTGTGTCTGGGGAATTAAGACTATTTCCAGAGATTTGTGAGAAGGGATTTGCCATTTTCTTAAACAGATTATATTTTCCTGTTTTCTTCTCCTAAAAAATTGGTGCGTCTTATGGAAAGGTGTGTCTTATGGAGCGAAAAATACGGTATTTCCAGATAACTATTTTCAGAGATTTCTGGAAATCTGTGTGTCTGGGGAATTAAGACTATTTCCAGAGATTTGTGAGAAGGGATTTGCCATTTTCTTATTCTGCTGGTGCTCTGGGACTGTGCAGCTTGCCCAAGGTGACACAGGCTGGCTCTTCTTCTGGAATGCATAATGGAGAATCAAACTCCCAACCTACGGACCTGCAGCTGGATACCTTACTCCAGAACTATTCAGCCAGCTACTTGACTTTTTGATTATAAAATATATTTGTGTGTATTCTTATTACTTTGTTGCTTGGCCTAAGCCCATGATGAACATGAATAACAAGAGTAAATCCCAACTCTTTGGGTGGACTTTATATTAATGGCACATGGGGAGTGTTTTGACAGTATAGCTGTACTTGTTATTATGTTTTATGTGTTCTTATTCCTTAGTTTTTGCTTACCAATGTGGAAACCTTATCAGGAAACCTGCATCCAGTTTCCCTTACGCCTTTACTAAGGACAATTCGAGATGAACGGTATCAGTTGGGAAAAGAACTGTGTGTTCAGGGAATTAAGACAAGTCCTCAAGATATCGCAAATCTTGTAAGTTTATAAAGTCAGTTGAATGTAGAACAATCACCATGTGAATGTGATACATAGTATAGTAGTTAAAATAGATCGCTAGCATTTGATGCAACATACAGCACTTCTTTCTAGGCCAAAGATATTCTAACTTTACACTTTATTTTATCCCAGTGACATTCAAGTAGCAAACACCAAAGTAACTCTCACAAAGAAATGTGAGATATAAATCTGTGTAGATAAATAAGAGGAAAGGATAGCTTGAGCAATAACTGGCATAGCAAATGCCCTGAAGCCTGAAACCATGATTTCATGGTTTCAAAACCTACCAATAACTTTAGAACTGTATCCCTGCAAAGCTTTCCTCTACCCTTCGTTCCTTGAAGATTGGGATAGCAACATCCCAGCTATCAGAAGTAATGGGAAACTGAGTTTTCCAGTGTATCTGAGCTCCTGATATGAATGACATATACTCTGGAAACTATATGTTGCAGGACTAATTACACTTGTGAAGCTGGTACTGGAAAATAACTTATTCCATCTGAATCTCCCTTGAATAAAACCAAGGAGTGTACTGTGCAGCTTAGTTTTGGAACCAACAGTTTTGGAACCAACAGCAGGTAAATTAAAGGACACATGAAGAAGCAAACCAACATGAATCCAGTGTCTGGATCTCAGAGAAACCAAAGCCATTTTTGTCTTCAGGACTTCCTTAGAAAAAGTGCAGGTAGACTGGAGTGAAAAATAGATGCTGTATGCAGATAGGACCAATCCATCAATCACCAATGTGGTACAAAACCTTTAGGCACATTTACCACCTCGCATAATATATTATTTATCTATCTATCTATCGATCGATCAGTCAATCAATCTACTTAATACCCTGCCCATCTAGACCAAAGTCTACTCTGGGTGCCTAACAATAATCCATAAAATAATAACAATATAAAATAAAACAACAATATTAATATAATCCAAGATGGCAAGAAATAGATTAGGTGATTATGGGAGGGAAGGCCTGCCTAAGGAGCCAAGTCTTAAGTTTGCTCTTAAAAGCACCCAGCGAGGGAGCCAGACAAATTTCTGAACGCACACAATTCTAGAGACGAGGGGCCACTGCCAAGAAGGCCCGGTTTCTTGTTATTTCTCTCCGGGCCTCACTCGGCATTAGACCGTCAGCCGCC